GACCATGTGATATTTCAGTTTTTCTTTTTTAATAAATCTGCAAAAATGTCAACGATTCTGTGTTTTTCTGTCAATATGGGGTGCTGTGTGTACATTAATGAGGAAAAAAATTAACTTAAATGAGTTTAGCAAATGGCTGCAATATAACAAAGAGTGAAAAATTTTCCGTACCCAACTTTCCGTACCCACTGTATTCAAAGGCATGAAACATTTATACAAGACGCAACTAAAGATTTTTCTTAATGCTCATTAATGCCTGGTTAAATGTTTATATTATTTATTTATTTTATATATTATTTATGTTATTTAAGTATTATCGAACTTTATTAGATAATATTACATAATTTTCTTAGAACAATTTGTCCTTAGAAGGGTTGTGGGTATTTATTTATTTATTTATTTATTTGTTTAGCTTATATGTTAATTTTGTCAAAATATTTTAATTATACTTTATATTAAACTATTAACATTGTTTATTTACTTATTTATTGTTAATTTACTGTATATCACAATGTTTTAATTATACTTATATTATTTATTCATTATAATTTAAGTTTATTAGTTTATATTACTTTTATATAAACATTTTAATTATTCTTTATATTAAATTATTAACATTGTTTATATCACAATATTTTCATTGTGTATATCACACTATTTTAATCATACTTATATACTGTATGTATTTATTTATTATAATTTAAGTATATTAGTTTATATTACTTTTATATAAATATTTTAATTATTTTTTCAAAATAATTTAAATAAAAATATTTTACGTATGTTTTATATTAAATACTTTATTAGCTTTATTAGCTTAATTAGTGTCACCTTATTTTATTTATTTTTGTTTTTGTCCCTGTTTGTGATTTTATTGTGTGTATTGATATTGATGTAAGCAAAAATAACTACAGTAAAAATAACTACAGTACTATGATGTTCAAAACTGTATTGTCTAGGTAGGCACCTCTCAGGGTTTGTACAGCTTGTGTGTGTGTGTGTGTGTGTGTGTGTGTACTTGTTTATGCCACATTGTGGGGACCAAATATCCCCACAAGGATAGTAAAACCTGAAATTTTTGACATTTTGGGCGGTCCCCACGAGGGAAAAATATTAAAAATAGTAAATGATGTTTATCTGAAAGTGAAACAATGCAAACAGGTTTTCTATGAGGGGTAGGGTTAGGGGATAGTAAATATCGTCTGGTCAGTGTAAAAGTAATAGAAGTCTATGGAAAGTCCCCACAATTCACAGAAACAAACGTGTGTGTGTTTGCGTGCGTGCGTGCGTGCGTGTGTGTGTTTGTGTGTGTGCGTGTGTATGTGTGTGATGGTGACTAGGAAAAAAATTAACTTAAATGAGTTTAGCAAATGGCTGCAATATAACAAAGAGTGAAAAATTTTCCGTACCCAACTTTCCGTACCCACTGTATTCAAAGGCATGAAACATTTATACAAGACGCAACTAAAGATTTTTCTTAATGCTCATTAATGCCTGGTTAAATGTTTATATTATTTATTTATTTTATGTATTATTTATGTTATTTAAGTATTATCGAACTTTATTAGATAATATTACATAATTTTCTTAGAACAATTTGTCCTTAGAAGGGTTGTGGGTATTTATTTATTTATTTATTTATTTGTTTAGCTTATATGTTAATTTTGTCAAAATATTTTAATTATACTTTATATTAAACTATTAACATTGTTTATTTACTTATTTATTGTTAATTTACTGTATATCACAATGTTTTAATTATACTTATATTATTTATTCATTATAATTTAAGTTTATTAGTTTATATTACTTTTATATAAACATTTTAATTATTCTTTATATTAAATTATTAACATTGTTTATATCACAATATTTTCATTGTGTATATCACACTATTTTAATCATACTTATATACTTTATGTATTTATTTATTATAATTTAAGTATATTAGTTTATATTACTTTTATATAAATATTTTAATTATTTTTTCAAAATAATTTAAATAAAAATATTTTACATATGTTTTATATTAAATACTTTATTAGCTTTATTAGCTTAATTAGTGTCACCTTATTTTATTTATTTTTGTTTTTGTCCCTGTTTGTGATTTTATTGTGTGTATTGATATTGATGTAAGCAAAAATAACTACAGTAAAAATAACTACAGTACTATGATGTTCAAAACTGTATTGTCTAGGTAGGCACCTCTCAGGGTTTGTACAGCTTGTGTGTGTGTGTGTGTGTGTGTGTGTGTACTTGTTTATGCCACATTGTGGGGACCAAATATCCCCACAAGGATAGTAAAACCTGAAATTTTTGACATTTTGGGCGGTCCCCACGAGGGAAAAATATTAAAAATAGTAAATGATGTTTATCTGAAAGTGAAACAATGCAAACAGGTTTTCTATGAGGGGTAGGGTTAGGGGATAGTAAATATCGTCTGGTCAGTGTAAAAGTAATAGAAGTCTATGGAAAGTCCCCACAATTCACAGAAACAAACGTGTGTGTGTTTGCGTGCGTGCGTGCGTGCGTGTGTGTGTTTGTGTGTGTGCGTGTGTATGTGTGTGTGTGTATGTGTGTGTGTGTGTGTGTGTGTG